TGTCCTTGTCGTAGTAGTACGAGGGATGTCTTTTAAGTTTTGCATATGAAAATAAAACAACACGGTAGGTAGTTTTAAATGACTATTGTTTTTCGACGTATTCTCCACGAAGATTAATACACATCTGCATGCGCTCGAACCAATTTTCGAAGCACTTATTCCACTCGTTTGCTGGCAGATCCAAAACGGCATTTTTGAATGCGTCAACTGCTTCTTCTGGTAAGTGAAACCCTTGACCACGCAGTCTGTTTTTAATTTTCGGGAAAGTAAAAAAATCGTTAGGACTTAGATCGGGACTATATGGAGGATGGTCCAATAATTCCACTTTTCTTCCGTTAAATACTGCCTTGTTTGTTGGGCTGTGTGCGAGTCTGCGTTGTCTTGGTGGAGGATGATTCTTCTTTCGGGGTTGATTTTTCGAAGCTCGGTGATGACTTTTGGTAAACAAATGTTGGTATACCAATCCGCATTTTTCGGTTAAAGCATAAAATTAAATCAAACAAAAAACTATCTAAAATCGATGTATATATTTGCTAAAACTGCAATAAAAAATAAATCTGCAATAGAATTACCTTTACATCAAACTTAAAGTGAAATCTGATTGCACCACTTTTGCTCTTGAAGAATACGAACAACTAATTGAAATGTCAGTTTTTTTTTTCTCCACAATCCCGTATTCCGTATTTCGTTATTCAGTTGTATTTTCTTGAAAAACAGTGGATCTGACTATGTAAAAAAGTCGGGCTTGTAGAGACATGGCATGTAAAATGAACGGATTTCCTAAAAAGCTTGATAAAAGCGAAACTTCATTGAATCGAGTCTTTTTACAAAAAAAATCGAGTAATTTGGAACGCGGACACATGATTTGCGTAAGCAGCTTTTAACGTCACATTCAATCTTGCTTTTAGCCTTTTGTCGTCATCGAGAACTTTTAGGTCTTCCTTCCTGAGTTTTTTATGTACCTCATTGCAGTTATCTGCTTAATATACGCTTCCAACCCCAGTAATTTGACGCACGTAACAGCGCATAGTGCATGCATATTTACATCGATGATTTCCCAGTTCATTTGCCCCTGTCACTTTTTTGTAACACGCAGTCGGTCTGGACGATGCGACTTTCTTACGCCGAACCCTGCCTTGCGGCTGACAGCATCGCCGACAGGGATGTTATAGTAACGTGGCAAGCGCTTACGACTTGTTTGACTGATGTGGTGCAGCAGCGTTTTGATACAGCTAGATCAAAGGAACTAACTTGGACCGAACATCCTGTTGCGTGGAAAATGCAGAGTCAACCTACTTGACGCCGTCTTTTATTGCACTCGATTTTCAACCCCTACAGAATGAAGAAACGAAGTTCGAATGATTTTTTTCTCGTGTTTTTCCCTAGCTCTACCGTTACTGAACTGATTTCAAAGGCTACAAAGCTTTTCTGTCCTTGTCGTAGTAGTACGAGGGATGTCTTTTAAGTTTTGCATATGAAAATAAAACAACACGGTAGGTAGTTTTAAATGACTATTGTTTTTCGACGTATTCTCCACGAAGATTAATACACATCTGCATGCGCTCGAACCAATTTTCGAATCACTTATTCCACTCGTTTGCTGGCAGATCCAAAACGGCATTTTTGAATGCGTCAACTGCTTCTTCTGGTGAGTGAAACCTTTGACCACGTAGTCTGTTTTTAATTTTCGGGAAGTAAAGATATCGTTAGGACTTAGATCGGGACTATATGGAGGATGGTCCAATAATTCCACTTTTCTTCCGTTAAATACTGCCTTGTTTTTTGGCTGTGTGCGAGTTTGCGTTGTCTTGGTGGAGGATGATTCTTCTTTCGGGGTTGATTTTTCGAAGCTCGGAAATGACTTTTGGCAAACAAATGGTGGTATACCAATCCGCACTAACAGTTCTTTGCTCATTAACAGGAATTGTTGCAATATGATCCGCTTTTGACACAAATGTCGCGACCAACGTTTGCGAAACACTTCGAGAACGGATGACTTTTGTTGGCTTTTCTTCACCTTGGAATACCCAAACAGCCGACTGTCGTTTATTTTCTGGTTCATAACAGTAAATCCATGATTCATCACCACTAACAATTCTGTACACATTTTTGAGTTTCCGGAATTGAAACGGTCAAGCGTTTTTTGACAGCAATTAACCCTGGCTGCTTTCTGCTCTTCAGTCAACAGGTATCCAACGAGAAACTAATTTTCTTACTCCTAATTCTTCATGTAAATTTTTTTGCATTGAGGTCTTTGAGATTCTTCAAGGACGCCTCAATCTCGCGATATGTCTCATGTCTATCTTCAATGATGAGTTTGCGCAGAGCATCGACGTTTTCCTGGGTGACTGCCGTTTTTGGTGCACCCACCCTGGGTTCGTCGCTAAGACTCAACCGTCCACGTTTAAATTCTCCATACCAACGGGAAAATGTCGACTGATGTGGAGTTTCGTTGCCGAAAACAGACAGTAAACTTCTTGCAATAATTGTCTCTGAAAGTTGTATTAAATTATGGCGCGAAAATGTTCTCGGTGAGTTCCATTTTTCTAATGACTTGGTGACACTTAAAAATTCAGTGCTGTGAAACTTTGAATTTAAGTTTACTAAAGAGTGAGGTTAAGATTCATCGTTCATCGTTCGATCCGCGCGGCCTACTATGTTTCTATATGCAAAACTTAAAAGACATCCCTCGTAACCGTGTATGAAAAGATCGTCCAAAACCGAGCAGTACTTCCAAAGGTCAGCGGACAGACCGACAGACAGACAGACCGACTGAAATGAGTGACGTGGTTTTTGATTTTCGAAATTTTTCGCGATCACAATAATTCCTCGCCAGCGACCGTAAGAAGTAAAAATGAAATGTGATGTGCAACAAGACGAGTAGTCATTAACGTTAAAGTGAAATCTGATACTTGGCCGTATTCGCACCCACAAACTTATTAAAATGCCATTTTTTCTCCACGGTATTTTATCATTCTGTTGTATTTTCATGAAAGGCAGTGCATCTGAGTGGATAAAAATGTCGGCTTTGCAACGGCAAGGCATGCACAGTGAGCGAATCGTGCAATTAGTCACACTTTGAGGAATAACGTCGCTATTCGTTGCTTCTATCCGCATGGATCTCTTGCGTAAACACGCCGAATGCCGTGTATAATCGCTATTAAAACAACTATTGCGAAAACACAGGATATATTATTCATAGAAAATTATATACAGGGACGGTACCGATAAGCCAAACGTTGTACCAGAAGATACGAGGTCTGTAAATTAAGTGGTGAGACTGGTACCGTAGCGCCCGATTTGGCAACACTGGAGGCTCGGGCTTGGAGGGGAGACAGGGGAACATTGGATCCGCCTTCAGTACAAGTTTGAACTCACTCGAGTCATTTGGTTTACCGTAGCGATTTTGTTTTGTGAAGGTTTTTCTGTTGTGTGACATCAATTTCGAGTTGACAGTCAACCACGATCCGAACGCACAATATCGCAGATTCTTTAGATATTTTCATCGGTTATTAAAGATGAAGGCCTTGCGCTTCGTGGTTTATCTTCGATCCAGTCTTTCCATTCTGAAAATGCCTCAAACCACCGAAAAACGTTGCCAGTCTCATTACTTAATTTACAGACCTTGTAGGCAATGACTGCCAGTCTCGTTTTCCTTCCATAATCCCTCATTCATTGCGCCACATAATTCATGCCACTACCGAAAACAGAATATTAATTTTCATCCATTAATTTAGATTTCTTCTTGTACTATACGAAATTTCGCCATAGCTCTGCTTTTACATATTTCGATCTCAAAAAAGTGCGCAAATTATGTCGGTACCGTATGTCGTGTAGTTTTGTCATAAACTAACCGAAAGTAATAAAATAGCATTCTGCCGTATTTACATGTTTAAGTAATTTCCTAGTAGTTTCCAAAGCAATATAAAAGTATCGTAAAGAATGGTGTATTTCCATCTAACCAGTAAATGCTTGCAGTAATCTACAAAATGTCACGATGTGTCATGGCGTAACTATCTTTTATAGTAATCTCAGAATATAATTAGCAGACTGTACCTAATATAAATGCACATACATATTTATATCTGCAGTTTTTACAATTATTATACTGATATTGTTTTATTTATATGTTTTTGCGCAAAGTATGTGTATCAATATTATCATATAAGTTTTATGTATACGCGCATTGACCGTTACATGTTATAACTGATAGAAACGAGTTGGTGATAGTCAGATGGAACGTTACCCTCCATATACGACAATTTAAGAATTGTTGTTTTACGAATTAGAACAAAACCATTAAAACCGGCCACGTTGAAAAAACCTTAACAATACGGTGTCTTTTAGAACTTGAAAGGAGTACCATGGACAACAATGGTCTCTTTTCGATCTCCAGGGATGGTCTAGCCCTCACGCAATAATAAAAAAACATAATAATTTAGCTGAACAACGTTGGTTGATATTTTAAGAATGAACCCTTTTAAAAAGTATCTCTCATTTCAATACTTTTTTAACAATTTACACTGTAGGTGATCCACAGTAGAATCTAAAACTTTATCTACATCCTGGGATTTTTCTCGAGCTTATTACGAATGTATTATTTATCAGAATTATATTTTTTGAAAATGGTGGAACCCCATTGGAACCAGTACCCAAACTGTTAGAAGTCTATTCTTATCTTCGTCAAGAACAAGCTTTTTCAACAAGCTATTATTATAGATTGGGTAATACGAGTTCATCCTTCAGGGGGTTTATCTTAGTGAGGGAGCTCTGCAGGACATTTTTTTTATTTAGACACTCGAGAGATTGTCACCTTATTCTTTATGAATGGCGTATCGCTAGAACCGTAATTACGTCATAGAAATGACTCATTTTTGTTCTTAATGATTTTCTGAAGTAGCATAGAACTTTAACTTGACTTTTTGAAAGGCAACAGTCTGAGTAATGTAAGACGAGCTTTAGAAAAGAATATTTTTTGGTCTTTGGGCATCGTAACATACTGTATTCTAAAGTTCTGTAGATGACTATTTCAGCGAAAATCCTTTTTCGAAAAATATCGAAGCAATCTATTGGATACAATATTTCATATTGTCTCTGTCCTTTCCAGACTCTCGAACTCGTCTGCGCAAAGGCCGATACTCCGTTTCCATGGAATCTCTGTTCGTATAGTAGCGAGCCTGACCTGGCGTACCCAGACTCCCTGGACAAGACCACCTCCTCGGAGAAGACGTCCACCACGGAGACCTCCCGCTTCCAGACGGCGAACACGTTCTGTGGAACACCGGCGCTGGCGGTAGGTACTACGACAGCCATCGATTCCAACGTCGCATCCAGCGTGTTCCACCCGAACGGGGAAGAACTTGCGGAGTGTGATTCGCTGGAAAAAAGATTCTCGGGCTCTGACTGGTCCTCCGATCAGAAATGAACCGCTGGGAGGGTGGGTTGGGCGGTCGCTCTCATCGTGGTTGTCGTATACTCAATCGGGTTGGATTTGTACCATTCTATACTATACTCGAGATTAAAGTAGGTTCTTTGTTAACGAACTTTGATATAGAATACATTTGAATCATATGTTTATCGGGTAATATGGCTACAAAACGTGGCTCGTTCTGCGAATCTAATATCCAATTTACTCGTTACGTATTGAGGATAATGAATATCTGATAAAGTTGCATTTATAGAACTTCTATTGAAATAATCATCCTCTTCTGTAGAACCATGTAATCTAACAATAATCCGTTCTTAAATCGTCAATAAGGCTTTGAAATAAAAATATCCGTTTGTTCTTCATATATAAGAAATGTGTTGATAGTGGTGAACTATGAATATCTGTAAGACAGCTTTTCAATAAAATGAATGAGATACGACAACCACTTCAAATACCTTATGCGCGGCACAAAAAAAATTGAACCAAATTTTTGTACACTTGAAGTCAGTGCCATTCGTCTCTGTTATTAGATTTAACTGATATTCATAGGTTGATCATTGAATAAATTAGAAAAATTGTAAGAATTGAGGAAAGTATTTTTGTGGTAAAAGTGTTTCAGTTGCGTTTACATGGTGTCCGCAAAGTTGGAGATTTCCTTTACGCAACGTATAGATCATGCGAACATAAGCGGATTTTCTTAGTAGCATATACACCAATGTCTTAAGAGAACCGAGATATTTGGCTCCGCAAACTCAATCACACCCGAACCAAACCGAAGCCGGTCCTGTCCTAACCCTCGATCACGTCGTCAGCGTACAGTTATTCGACATACTACTACGATGTAAATACGGATTTAACGACAGAGCCGTACTTGGAATTTTAATTCAACTGAACAGTACGTCCTTTTGAAATTATTTTTTTAACTTGTTCGCTCACGTTTCACCACACATTAGCTTTGTTATATCACGCGTAGTTGTCTGAAAAGGAAAACCCCAACTTTACGTCAAAACAATCCACAGCCTTTTCGTTTTTTGGACCACAGATTTCAGGGCCTCCTGTTTTAATCTCATTATAACACGTTTGATTTATAACTTGTGAATATCGGTACGTAGGAAATACATATTTTCTTTTAGACTATAAGTGAAAAACTGACTGTAACCTTTTCTGAATGGACTGATACCGTGAAACATTCCTTTTTGTGTGAAGCTGTTTTCAAGAATAAATTTGATAGCAGTCAATTTCATATTACTTGGAAAATGATGGTGCTTATGAATAGCAAATAATAAAATGTTCATTTTTAGAAACCTGGTTACTAAAAATGCGCTCTTCGGTTATTTTAAATCGCTGTGTACAGTATTTTTTAAGTATTTTCTGTATATTGTATATTTTAAGTGATTAGTTTTACCGTATTTATTTGGATTTTTTATTTGCGCAATAAGAGAGATTGTGCATTATATACTTTTTATTTTGCTGTGTAGGACTGTGATAAGTATTGTGCAGAAAAAAGAATATAGTGGCAACTTAAAAAATGTTCCTTATGGTATTTACTTCGTTCTAATGCAAAACTTCTTTTTATATGTTACCTTTTACATTGATGGACTAGTGTAAATAATAGAATTAACGGGAGTGATATTTTCAAAGTAATTCAATCAAAGATTTTCAGTTGATCTTTTTCTAGAATGAATTTTTAACAAATCAAGGTGGTACGTCCCTTTTAATATTTTTCTTCAACCACCTAGTTGCAGCAGTATTCTAAACCTTTTCATCTGACAATTTCATAGTGTGTATAGAGATGACTAAAAAACAATGTTTTAATTTTTTTGTGCATTTTTTCTTCAATCGGAACTTGTTAACAAATATAAGTACAGCTCTGAAATTGTGTGCGAATATTCCTCTTTTATAGAAGAGTAAAACAAGTGATACATTTTATTCTTATCACTTTTTTCTTTTCGGAAAATTTTTAATTTTCTTGAAGCCTCGTCTCGCAGCAAGTTGAGTTTTCAAGGAAAGCAAAGATTATTCAAAGAGAAAAAGTGAAAAGAATGAAAGTAATCACTTGTTTCATTCATCCAGAAAAGTGGAATATTCACATACATTTGTTAAAAAGTTACGATCGAAGAAAAATTCCACAATAATATGCACAAAAATCTATTTTATTAAATACGATGGTTTTTTTAGTCATCTCTATACACATCATGAAGTAATCAGATTAAAAGGATTCAGAATACTGTTGCAAACAGGTAGTTGAAAAAAAGGCGAAAAAAAGGGACGTGCGGCCTTAAAAATGATATCTAGTACTGAGAACGTAGATGACGACGATGCTTTTATGGAATTATAACTTTGATAAAAAAGCACAGGAAGGTTGTTCCGCTTTCAGTTTTCTTAGTATTTGACGATTTTTTTTCTGGAATTATAATAATTTATAGGATCTGTTGCAATAGCTAGATGTTCACAACGATAATAGAATTGATTTTTAAATTATGTGCAAGACTGTTCAAGCGATTAAGGAATCAACAGTCATCTGTAGGCCACAACATTTGTGATATATGTAGAAATGCTCATCACATATTTATAGTTTATATTTTCATTATATTATATAAGTTGTGTTTGAAAGTATTGTTTCCGAAAAATGCTACTCAAAGAATGCAAATAAATATTTCCACATGATACATTATCTAGCTGTAAAATTATTCCGGATCAGATTTATAAAATGAATGTTATTTTTGTATCTTTTGAATTTTTCCTTAGCATTTTGTGAATGTTCTTGTTTGCCATTTTGTAAGTCTGAAGGAAATATGTTTGGCACTCCAACAGAACTGGTATTAAATCTGCACATTCTATGAGAATGGTCGCATTTATTGTCTCCCAAACAATAGTTTCCAATTATGACACCAATACAACTAGTTTCATTGTGACATAAATTAGTTATAGATAGATATTAGAGTCGATAAAAATGCTGAGTTTCACAGATACCGTTCTGTTGGTGAGTCTGGGAATGTCAAAACACTGTCATGTATATATTTGCTGTTTATACATTAAAAAATCCACATCATATGAACTATAAATGAATAAACAAATAAAGATAATACTGTTGAAAGGAATGTTTTGAGGTCAATGCGCAATTATACCCCTACCCAGGCAACGCATCTTCAAATATCAAGAAATTTAAATCTCGCCATCTTTATTACGTTATTACGTATTGAAAAACAAAGCATCCTCCTCCTTACATGCATTGGAGGTTACTGACCAGATCTCGGCAGCCCAAGGGAGTCATTCAAAACGGTGGACTTTGTGGTGGTTACCGATATGCAGCGCCATCTAGTGGAGAGTAGCGGAATAAAGGAATATATCCATCTGTATACCTTTCTTAAATGATTTTAAGCTAATTCTGTCCATTTTCAACTAGATAAAAAAAAATTCGTTTAGTTCGGCTACCATTCCATAGATGGCGGTTCTTGTTAAAGTGTTATCATAGGTCTCACAAATTTTAACTAGTCAAAAGATCCTTTAGGGAGGTTGGTCGGGTTTGGGAGGTTTCTATGGCTACGCATCATCAAAGATCAAGAAACTTAAATTTCCGTGAGGGGGTTAAAAATCCCCCAGTTTTTGATGAAAAGATTATTTGTTTGGATTAGTTATTATATTCTATTACGTATTAGATTTGACTTTGTTGAAAACCAAGCGTCCTCATCCTTACATGCATTGAGGCTTACTGAATGGATTCCAGCAGCCCAAGGTAGTCATTCAAAATGGTGGACTTTGTGGTGGCTACCGCTAAGCAGCGCCATCTACTGGAGAGTAGCCGAATAAAAAGAATATATCCATCCGTATATCTCTAAGTATTATTTTAAGCTAATACTGTGCATTTTCACCTAGGTCAATAAAATTCGTTTAGTTTCTGCTACCATCCTATAGATGGCGGTTCTTTGTAAAGTGTTATCATAGGCCTCACAAAATTTAACTAGTCAAGAAGATTCTTTAGGGGAGGTCGGTCGGGGGTTTGGGAGGTTTCTATAGCAACGCATACTTCCAAGATCAAGTAACTTAAATTTCCGTGAGGGGGTTAAAAATCCCCCATTTTTTGATGAAAAGATTATGTTGTTTGGATTAGTTTTTATATTCTATTATGTATTAGATTTGACTTTGTTGAAAACAAAGCGTCCTCCTCCTTACGTGCATTGACGCTTACTGAACGGATTTCAGCAGCCCAAGATAGTCATTCAAAACGGTGGACTTTGTGGTGGCTAACGATATGCAGCGCCATCTATTGGAGAATTGCCGAATAAAAATATAATCATCCGTATACGCTTCTTAACTAATATGGGGAATTAATGTATTTTTCGTACTACACATTGAGACTTTCACCAGACTACATAAAATTGCAAAGTTAATTCCACAAGAATCATAAGGCTTGTGGATAGGAGGAAGGGTTGTGCAATAAAACACTCATAGATAGGTTATAACATTATTCAACAAAATAACAAAACTAAATTAACAATAGAAATAACTTTGTAACAGAGTAAAGCTTGGTCCTTAACAGATATATTTCAAAACGCAACAATATTATGAACACATGCCTAGGCTTGGCCAGGCTTTTTACAATTTTGGCACGTATATCTGCCAACACCCTTAAACATGCTATAGTTTCTATACTACATCCGTTATACTACTTATGGTGTACAGGGCGTTCAGAATGCTGAGAAAATAATCACAACAACACATCTTGCGCATTTTTGACTTAATGTTAGAGGAATTTTCAATTTTCTACTTGACGTCAGAAATATGATTTTGAAATCAAATTCCAAAGCTTATCATCAATTCAACATCTCAAAGTGATTAAATGAATTGAGGTACATATCTCATTTTATTATTATAAATTAATGTATTGTGGGAAAGTCACGCTTTACGCTCCAATCCGATAACCAGTGAAGCATGATTGGAAGCATAACTTCACGACAATTCAAAGAAGCTTCACAACAAAAACGCGGTGTAAAATTGCACCTTACATACGTTTCCAAAACATCCTGTACCGTGATCAATATACATACAGGGTTAAAAAATAATGCCAGAGTAACGTATGGGTTTACCCTGTTGAGTATACGAATTGGGTATCAGAGTGTACGCGAGTATTGTGAGGTGACGTTTGAATTCCAATGTTTGTGCGCATATTTTATCAGATATGTGGTATAATTAGTTTTGGGTCCAGTTGATCGACCAAATCAATCATTACACGGCCCAACAAAATGAAAAAACAAAATTGGTGCAGAAGATTTTATATATTTCTGATACGCTGATTTTAAAATATACCTCCTTTTTTTATATCTGCTTTTGTTTTCGAGATATAAGCGATTTTTAGCATTTACGAAAGTGCAAGATATGCCATTTACTACCTCGAAAAATAATGTGAACATTTTAATGTTGCCAATTTCTTAAACACCCATTAACAAAAGCCCAAAGCGTTTCGGGGTACCTTTGGTTTCTAGTTGCGTATAAATTGACGAATTATCTTAATTATATTATTCAATATGATGTTTAGCTTACATCTACATACAACATATATACAGGGTGATTCACAAGTCGTGACCAAAAATGAAACATCATTCATACGACCGCATTTTGAGGGCTGCATTAAAAAGATTTTTCTAATCTCTACAAAACCATCAACTGGAAGTACTAAAATTTGGTATGTGGATGCATTGACCACATTCAAGTCTTTACTTATAATTAACGATATACTTCAAGATCCAGGGCCATTCAACATTTAATAAACATCGTTGAGAAATCAATTATAAGCAATTATAAAACAAAGGTTTACAATAACAATAAATACTCCATACAATGCTTTAGGATTTTGTTAACGGGTGTTTGAGGGATATTTAGAACTAAAATATGCCAACTATTACCAGAATCGACCACTGCGAAAGTGAAAACAGCAAGCTGTCTGTTTGAACTGTATGCCAGTTCGCATTGTCAGCCGGTTCACCACTGTGGCCTCTTGATGCCACCGATTCTGGTCATAGGGACTACTCCACGTTGAACAAACTAGTAGGTGTTTCGTGCTATTTGGTTAACGCGGCTGACAATGCCTAAAGGAACAACAAACAGCTTGCTGTTTTTGTTTCGCAGGGTCGATTCTGTTAATGGATATCTGATTTCGATAGACCTTATACTCTGAATTAAAGTACAGTTGCTCAGCTGTCGTTCGTTGTGCACCTAGACAAGCATATACTATGATGAAGAGTTACCAAATAGCAAGAAACAGCTGTCCATGGTTCGCCGTTTATGGTCTGTCGAATGAAAGCTACATTACTAGATTCATATTTAAGAACTTTGGCAACATCAAAATGTTGAATTTACACCAAGTGTGCTAGGACTCGAAGAAGGATATGTTAAATATCTGCTTCAGCCATCTCTAAAGTAAAACAAAAGTAACTGAAAAATGACATGGGAAAATGTGTTTCATGGAGAAAGCAGGCTAATCATCAATCTAATCTTCCACTACGATGTATGTAACAACGTGAAGAATTTTTAAACGGAAAACGCATTCATGAAAAAAAATGTATGTATGATCTGAAATCCTGGATATTTTGGACAATGGACTGGTCCTGAGACAATGGAAGTGTTGCGGAGGAATGACGATATTCAGTCAATTGATAAACATGCTTAACGATTTACGAACGGATGTCAAATTCATCACAAAACAAATCTAAGGATAAAGTTTATACGAATCATGACAACAACTTCTGTGTTTATTCATAGTCACAATAATTTGTGGAATGTTGTAATCGTTTGACATCCAAACATTCGAGATCAACAAGTTTACAAGGAAGAGAGGCCCCACCGAATATTTTTCGTGGTTTATGTACACATTAGGCCCGCACATTTAACGGATTCATATGAGGAACTCGCCCATATTTTTTCATTTCATAATATACTTTGGTTGATAAGCATATTTGTGTACAAAGGGTGTGACAAGTTTTTGCCCGCACATTACGTCTCAAATTTTATGACAATAACATTCAGATTCCATTCAAATTAATTGGCCTTGTGAGGAAGCCAAAAATTGTCAAAGTGGAATTTTCTAAATCGTGGTTTCAAAATATATCGCATAATGCTTCCTGTTCGGGTTTATCTTCGATCTATGCAACTGAACACTGCTAAATACACTCCAGATCTCTACTACAAATGCAATTTATTACCAAATTCCTTCTTCCAACAATGAGTGTTCCATCCAAAATACGAATATCAAGAATCTGCTGTTTATGTTACGACTACCCTGCTACGGCCATTCCTTATTATAGTTAACAGTCGTAATATTACAATATATACGGTTCACAGTTCAACAGTAATACGGACAATATACATAGATAAATATTGCTTAGAATTCGTGTGTATGAGTAGAAAGAACCACCACCGGAAGGTGTTATAGAAAGAAGTACAAAATACAACGCTAGATCATAGGCGATACTACAACCAGTTACATAGCTTAGATAGCTGTATGAGTATATACAGAATGCTTATACATGACGTTGAATTACAGAATACTTCAGGTCAATGGTTATCAAAATTTGGTGCGCTTTCTTAGGTCTAACATCGAGTTTATTCTGCGGTTTTCTCAGAAATGTTTGTAATACTGAAATACTGTACAAAAAGACTGTTTTTCCTGATTAAAGTCCAAATGTTTTTGTCAAAAGGGTTGCTTCTGTATAATTCCAAGTTTCATAGAATACGTTTGATACAGAATGCAACAAATACTTTAATGAAACGGAATAAATGTTTATAAGAATAGTGTTTTCATTGTACTCCGACGATTCTATGGATTTGCTCTTATCTTAGAAGGGACAACAGACTTAGTACTACAAATCGTGTGGTACAAATTGCCAAAGATAATATATATGATACTTCCAACATTTTAAAGATATATTTTTAACTGTTTTCTGCCCTTAATTGTTATATATACTTATTACGGAGGATTCCATACAAATTTAAATGCTAACATCATTTATATGGCGGGTCAGTATATATAATTTTATTTACTGGTATAGAAAAAATGACACTATATATTGAATCAGTTATTGTAGTAGATAATTTTGCCGGG